AGGAAAAACAAAAAAAGAACAATAGGAAGAGTAAATACAAGGGGAAATCAAAATTAACATTGCTATGTAAAACAGCAAAGGTCAATGGGATCCCTGATCCCATTCTCAAGGGCTCTACCTTCCTCACATAATCACCTCCCAAAAATCACAGTTAACTAGCACCTTTGGGTGTCAGGATTTTAACATATGCATTTTAGGGAAACACAAACATACACAACATAGCAGTTGCAAATGACAGAAAAGTCTATTCAAATTGGTTTAAATAAAAATGGAAATGTATTGGTTTATATTTAACTAAAAAGCCCAGGGATGGACCAGTGGTAAGTATTGTACAACTGGATTCAGGGTTTAAATTATATCATCTAAGACTTAGCTTCTTTTTCTCTCAGTTCATTCATTCAACAAATATTTAAGTGCTCATCATATGCCAGGCAATGTCATAGGAAATACAAATTTTTCAGTGAGTGAACCAGGGGAAGAAGGAAAATGTACTTCAACAAATCAAGCACAGCCAGCAATTGAATTTGACTTTGATTATTTCTGACTTGAATTTTCTGCCCCTTTCTGAAACAATTACTGTCAGGTAGTGAGTTGCTTTTGTTACCTGAGCACGGATCATCAGACCTTCCTGGAACCAGAGGTGGAATCAACTTCCCCAGATCCACATTGAGTGTGGGGGATGGGTGGATGGCCAAATAGGAATCAGCTGTTGCTTAAAGGTGGGTAATTAGATTCTGGTCAGTCTAAGCCACCCAGTGTCCACTGATTGATGTGTTTTGTTAGAGTTTGAATTTGTTCTGTAGTTAAATGTGTCTATCCTCTCCTTTATTGTTTCTGCAGTTTACACCTCCTTTACTTTAAATTTACAAATATATTTTCTTGTATTATCTTCCAGATTGTATATATATTTAAAATATTTAGCTCTAATTCATCTTTATTTTATTTTTGAGCATGTAAGGATTGAATCTTTTAAAAAATGTGTGCTTATCTGATATTCTGATTTTTATATTGGAAAAGGATAGATTTGCGTGATCAAAAAGTGTTCTAAATGGTTGACATTACAATCATTAGTGTGCTAGGAGAGGGCAAATAGAGAGGTGATTCAGAGCACATGCACTGGAAGCAGATGGCCAGGGATTAAACCCTGCCACCAGTTAACTGTATGCATTGCGCAAGTCTCTAAGCCTCAGTTCTCTTCCCTGTAAAATGGTGATAACATTCCTTCCTCATTGAATTGTTGTGATAAATAATTAGGCAACACTTGTAAAAAGATATGATAGTTCTTGGCATGTAATAATTAATAGTTAATAAATATTAGTTAGTATATTTAACAGTGAAAAGGAGGAACACTGTTCAATAATCAGAAATTGTTTAAGTGATTTATGATAAATCCATAAAATGGAATATTACGTAGACAGTAAAAGTCACATTTTAGAAGATTGTTTAATGATATGAAAAAATGTACACTATAATTTTTAAAAATAAAACAGGACACAAGAGTATATAATGTTTTATTCTAATGCTGAAAAAATATATAATTTTTTATTATACCCTTAGAAAAGCAGTCTCTCTAGGTTCTAAATTGATGAATTTTTACATTTATCTTTGTACTTTTTTTTTTACTTAAAACCTTTTGTCTAGAAAGAATTACTTTTATAACTAGAACAATATTATAAAATGCAATGTAATTTGTGCTATAATATAGCACCTGTCCTACATGTGTGTGCAAAGGGAGAAGAAAGATGTGAAAGCCACAAGAGGAGGGTGAAGGAGCCGGTTTTTGAAGTGTTGGAAGAGGGGCCAGTAGAAAACACCCATCTATCCTATGGACGTTGGAACCTACCGAGAGAGACAAATGGAGATCAAAACAACTATTTTTATTATTAATAAAAGTGAGAGGATGTGCCTTTAGGCCTGTTAGCTAAGCAGTTTGCTAATGGAACTGTAAGGTCTCACAGGGTCAGTCAGTTACAGCTTCCAAACTACGTTAGGGCAGGCAAGGACAGCAAGGAAGAATGTGTGTTCTCGTGCAAGCAAAGAGGCTGAGGAAGCACTATTCCGCCATGTGCATCAATCACCATTTATTTAAACCATTCCCTGTTATTGAGGAAGTGAAGTCTGCTCCTTCTCCCAAACTCATAAAGCAGAACATCCACTCCTTCCCTGTGCAGGGTAAAGAGAGTGTTACCCTAGTGGCCTTTGCTTCACATAAAAACATGAAGCCCAAAGGATGGAGGCACCCTCCCAACACTAGGGAGTGTTCAACCAGGTCAAATACCATAGACAGATTAACAAGGAAGAGGACCAAAATCATTCTGCAGAATGGTGAGGAAGACATCAAACTGGAGGAATTCACTGGATGTAAGGCAGTACTGATCAGCTGTAGAGATTACCATTTTAAGGAGTAAGCATGTTAAAAAAATGAGACGATTATAAATTGAGAGCGAGCATAAAAGAAATAAAGTTTACTTTTGTTTCATTTTGAAGTGTTTATTTTAAAAGTTTTAGAATCAGAGAAAGGTAAGCCTGTTTATAGCCTGAAAGGAGAGAACAAAGAGAGAGAATTTGAAGAGAGAAAAGAGAATGACAGGATGGAGTCTAGACTGGATTTGAGACAGGGTGAAATATTTTTTTCCCATCATTCGTTCAGTCTATTTTTTTCCATCATTCGTTTTGCCAAGTGAATTAAAGACAACAGAATCACATTTGGGTAAGTGTGAAGTCCTCAACAAATTTTTAATTGAACCCATTAATACAGTTATTTTATTTAACTTTTCTAGGGGTATAGAAGCACAGGAAATAAATATTTTGATACATTTGGTTTTATGAATCAGCAAGGCAGAAATGGCTTTTGAGATCTGAACAAAACAAAACAATAAAAACACAAACCAATAAAATTTAACAGATTAAGCATTTTCCCCTTCTTTTTCTGAAAAGAAACTTGTTCTAGAGAATAAGAGTCAAAACGAATTTCCAGAAACATAAAGTTTAGGGTTTAGCAAGCTTGAAAAAGAAAGGTTTATTTTATTTAGCCACTATCTGAATTATGCTTTATGTTATTATCAAGTCTAGTTCCATTGAAAACAAGTGCATCTAATAAATAGAGTTAACATGTAAAATATATTAGAAAACTTTGAGTGATGTAAATGTCATAAATGACCTAAGGAATTGAGAATGCATGCCTGTAGCAGTCCCCAATTTGGATTACGTATGCAGATTTGGACATGTTCAATGAAACAAAGCAGGCAAACATACATAAGCTTTAGTTTTATCTTGTTACTATGATCATTAAATCCTTTTCTCTCATGGAACTTCAAAACTGGCAAAAGAACAAAGCTAGAACTTAACAGTGCTGCTATTTTTAATCAGTCATGTGTTTCAAATACATTAATTGCATACCAACTCTTTAAAATAAGTGTGCTTGGCTAAGAGACAGGACATTGTTTTTTGGAAAGAAAGCATTTCCCCCAATGCCAACTTTCCATACATGTAATCCATGTGAAGATTTTATTGCATATTGATCACGAATGCGATGCTACTACAGTACAAAGTGAGGAAATACAATTTTCAGTACTTGACCTCCACATTTGATCCTTTTGGCACTTCTGGGCTCTTTATATTGGGAGACTCTGATGTATGTGGAGGGGCTCATCCCTCTCTCCTAAATCAAGTAACAGAGAAAGTAACAGAGATTCGGGATTCAATGACCAGGTTTGAATAGAAATATGAAGGGGAGAATCTAGGAGAGATGGAGAGCGGGGAGAATCTAGGAGAGATAGAGAGCAGAAGCAGGTGGCCATGTTTAAATCGGGAATAAGAAAACAAAGCCAGGTTTGCCAAGTGAAGGAACGTGTTTAGGAAAGTAAGAAAAGGTAGGGGAAACATTGCAACAAGGATAGGCAGAGTGCTGCTAGTCAGATGGAAGATAGAAGAATTATACTTCTGAAAAGCTAGAAAGGCTTTTCAGAAGTATAATAATTCTATCTCCCATCTGACTCACCTATCAGATAAGCCCCAATTCTGGCAACCCATGTGTTTCTCTGAAGAGACATAATAGTACGTTCCATGAAAACAAGTCATCTACGGAGGTAAACAGGATGTTTCTGAACCCAGGGCTGAAGTGCCTGCCCGTGGGCATAACTTTGTGATCACCTGCATGCCTTGGTGAGAGAGCTGACGGCAATTAGCTATTTGTCTGAAGTCAAGGTCTATTGTACAGAACTAAATGTCAGCAATCAGTTAAGGGTCAAAGTCTTTTCTCTGGCTTCTGTAGCACCCTTCTCTAACCTACTGGTCTAACTTGACCAAGACAGACTGTGATCAAAGTTGTGCATACAGAACCAAGTGAAAGGGAATTTTCTGACTCTTCAACTTCAAAATTTATACTTGAAATACTATATTGTTTTCTCTTTTTAGTCCTGGTAAAAATAAAAAAGGTGGGATATGGATAAAGGAGAACATATTTTATACTTGTTTCTCAATAAAGAATATGAGTGATAAGATTTCCTTTGAAATAATCACATTTTATACCTTATAATAGGATACCTATTCTTATAAATAAATATAGTTTCATTTAATCTCTTTCAAGCTATCACTTTTATTTTCTAAATTAGGGGTCGGCACTCTTTCTCTATAAAAGTCCAGAGTATATATTTTAGTTTTTGTGACTCGTTACCATCTCTGTGACCACTGTTCAACTTTGCAGAGTGAATGTAGCCATAGACAATATGTCAAAGAATGGGCATGGCTGTGTTCCAATAAAACTTTATTTACAAAAACAGGTGGCAGAATAGATTTGGCTTTGTATGCTGACCCCTGCTCTAAATTCATAGAAAATTCTTCAAGTTTACTGTATTTAGAAAATTGAAAACATCAGTTTGAGTGGTAATAATAATAGTTAGCTTTCATTGGGCACTTACTATGTGCCAGGAACTGCTTTGAAATATTTATTAATTCATTTAATCTCCATTCTGATTTTCTTTCTATAGGTTAATTAACCTGTCTAAAAGTTCACAAATGGTGAAGCAGGGATTTGAACCTTAGAAGTTTAGCTTCAGAGTCTGAGCTTTTAACCATGATAAGTAAATACGACCCCGGAGACAGTTTCCCCATTTGCACTTGGGAAAGACTGGCAGGTGGGTTTCCCTCGCAGTACCTGAGGTGTCCACCTGCCACTTTTCTCTGACTTCAGGACTGGCCCTGGTTCACCAGACTGCAGCTTCGCCAGGTGGGTAGCCACAGGCAAGGGGATGTGGGTCAGGCCTCATTCCTTCAGAGCACCCTGGATCTTTGTTCCTCACGAGTCACCACACAAGCCTGGTACATCCTCAATACTCAATTCTGTGTTGAAACATCTGGGAAAACTTCCTGAAGGAAGAGTTATCCAAGCTAAGACCTAACGTAAGAGGGGGAAAAAATACGCCAGAACAAGAGAGATGTGGGGTAGATGGTGTATGTGTGTGATGGGAAGAAGTGTTTCGGAAAAGGGAGCAACACATACAAGGCCTAGAGCCTGAAGAGAGTGTGGCTTCTTTAAGACCCTGAGAATTGTCGGGTATAGAAAGGAGATAGCAAGGCTGCAGAAGCAAGCAGGGGACAGATCAGGAGGACTTTGCCATCGTGTTACTATTTGGGTAGGGGAAGGCATTGAAGGTTTTCAGGCCTGGGGGTGTTGTAATCAGATATGAGTTTTAGATCACTCTGCAGAATGGAAAAAACACTGAAGGATAGGTTCCAGGTATACAGGCAAGAGATGATGGTGGCTTACACAAAACTGGGGCAAGTCCAAAAAAGAGAAACCGGTAGATTTCTAGAGATGTTTGGAAAGTAAATTGGACTGATTTTAGGAAAAATGGGATTTTAGCTTTGGATGGATGGAAAATGGTGCAGTGTCTGAGATACCCTGTTTCCCCGAAAATAAGACAGTGTCTTATATTAATTTTTGTTCCCAAAGATGCGCTAGGTCTTATTTTCAGGGGATGTCTTATCTTATTTTTCCATGAAGAAGAATAAGGTACACATTTATTGTTAAATGAAAATAAAGGAAATTTATTACCTGTATACGGTGCGGTAGTACGGCAGTTGTCAACACAAACCAGACAAACTGTGAATCCTACAGTATCAAGAATTTACTCATTTATTGAATGACAATCATGTCATCATCTTCTGGAACATCATCATAACAATCCAATTCCTGAATTTCCTGGTGAATTTCTTGTGACTCCATTTCTTTCAGAATCAGTGGACCAAATCTCTCATGTTTAGCCTGGTGGGGGGGCGCCTTATTTTTAGGGGGATGCCTTATATTTCACTCAGAAGGAAACCTGTAAGTAGGTCTTATTTTCGGGGAAACATGGTAGCAAACATAGAATTGGGAAGGAGGGGGGAAAAAAAGAGCTGAATTTGAGGAAGCTGTGGGATATGCGGAGCAGAACAAGGAGCAGGATATATAGATCTGAAGCCCAGAAAAGGGCTTCAGACAAAACACATTAAAATCTGAGATTCATTAGTAAATAGATGGTCACTGATACGTTGGACCTGGGTGAGATATTTGAAGGGGAATATCCAGTGAGAAGGAGCAGAGACTGAGACCAGACCAAGGAATGCCACATTGGAAGTGATAGTGAAGAAGCCTGAAAAGCAGAATTAGGAGAAGAGCCAGGGGAGGGGTGCCTAGAGTATGAAAGAGAGTATCTAAGCAGCAAATGTCTGGAAATTGTACCAGGGATTGAAGAAGACATTGGCCCCTCCTCCTAACCCCAATGGAGTGTGTGTGTGGGGGGGGAATGAACAACTACTTAAGAGTGGTAGGCTCCTCAAGGGGAACCATGTCATAATTTAAGGCAAAGTGAGATATATTCAGAGAAGAGAGTCTGGGAAAGAGAGGGTGTTCCTTTATTAATTTCCAGAGGATATAGTTGTAAGTTTGAAGAAAATGCCCAGAGAGGCATGGATATGTATTTACAGGGCAGTGGTATGCCTGGAGTGGCCCTGTCCCACCCTCCTTCCACCCGCCACAGTATTCCTAATATACCAACAAGATAAAAGCACCACCTCTCTGCATGGTAATAATATCCAGACATAGACACAGGGCTGGGCAAAAGTAAGTTGACAGTTGTGAGTACACAAGATCGTTCATTCTTATACTATTATTTCTAGGAAGGTTGGCAATGGAGCACTTATGAGATTGTACCTAAGTGCACTGTGCCAGTGGACATTCTTTTAAGTTAGTAAAGCTATTGTTAATAATCATAACCTGTATGTCTTTTTCCATATGAACAACTGTAAACTCACTTTTGCCCCCTCCTGTATGTTAATCATCCAGGTAATTGAAGCCTATAATAGTAACCAATAGGACCAATGAAAAAGAAAGAAGCAATTTTTTGCAAAATAAAACATATCTGAAATATTCAGGGTAAATTTGATGAGCTCTGTGTGCTGTTGTATACATCAGTATTTCCCAAATGACTAAGAAGTTTTTCTCTCATTTGTTTATTTCTCTTTAGTTTCTATTGCCCTAAGAGCTGTATTGGTGAAAATATTGCTTCAGCATATGTCTGAGATTTTGCTGCCTGTGGATTCCTCTAATATTTTTATGGTTTCCTGACTTACATTTAAGTCCTTTATCCATTTGAGTTTATTTTTGTGTATGGTGTAAGTTAGTGGTCTAGTTTCATTTTTTTGCATTGTATCTATCCAATTTCCCCAATACCATTTATTGAAGAGACTGTCTGAACTCCATTGTTTGCTCTTGCCTCCTTTGTCAAATATTAATTGAGCATAGTGGTTTGGGTCGATATCTGGGTTCTCTATTCTATTCCATTGGTCTATATGTCTGTTCTTGTGTCATATCAGGCAGATTTGGGAACAGTGGCTTTGTAATATAACTTGATATCTGTTATTGAGATCCCTCCTACTTAGTTCTTCTTTCTCAGGATTGCTGCAGCTATTAGGGGTCTTTTTTTTTATTCCAGATGAATTTTTGGAGAGTTTATTCTAAGTTTGTGAAATATGCAATTGGTATTTTAATAGGGAGTACATTGAATCTGTAGATTGCTTTGGGTAGTATGGACATCTTAATTATGTTAATTCTTCCAATCCATGAACACGGTATATTCTTCCATCTGTTATGTCTTTCTCTATCTTTTTTCCCCAGTGTCCTGTAGTTTCCTGAGTACAGGTGTTTTATCTCCTTAGTTAAGTTTATTCCTAGGTATTTTAATTTTTTTGGTGCAATGGTAAATGGGATTGTTTTTAAATTTCTCATTCTGTAAGTTTACTATTGGTACAAAAAGCCATAGATTTATGGGTATTAATTTTGTATCCTACTATATTGCTGAATTAATTTATTAAGTATAATAATTTATTGATGGAGTCTTTAGGGTCTTCTATGTACAGTATCATTGCATCTGCAAATAATGACAGTTTTACTTTTTCTTTTTTAATTTGGATACCTTTTATTTCTTCTTATCTCCTACAAGGCAAAATGACAAAAATACAAATAATGTAGAAAACTTTTTACACACTGGAATATATTCAATTTCAATAATTGACTTTTACTTTTAAATTATATTATTTCTTCACTTTTTGGTTGTTAAATGTTTCTCTTTTATGAAACAATGGTAATAATAAATGATGATTTATTTTAATGATCTTCCTTGGCAAGATAAAATGGTGGCAACCTATTGATTTTACTGGTCTTTGAATTCTCCACTTTTATGAATATTTTTTTCCAGTGTGATATAATTTGTTCATGCTAATAAGGAATTCAGAAGGCAGGACTTAAATATTCATTGATGTAATGATCTTTCTGTGAGTTTCCAAGTTAACATGTACGAGCATCCCCTTCCGAACACAGTTTCAGGAAGGTAGTGAATATACCAGAACTCTAAATACAAAGGGTTCTGCATTTAATTACACTTGGTAAACCTTGCATACCAAAGGCACATATCATGCACATATCCCATGAAAGACCGAGAAGTCCTAGAATCAAGAAATCAATCAAATTTTGTTTAATGGATAAGTAAATTTGTTTCCTGCAAAAAAAATTTCTAGTACACTTAATTAACATCTCCTAGAATAATCTTCTGTTAAGACCAGTTTGAGAAGTGTTTGAATAGTTGCTCTTGAACAGTAAGCAAATATGTGCTCCAATACTATAATATTATAGCCAGATATCTAAGGTAATCCAATAAAAGGTGAAGCCTAGTTAAGTGCAATTTCTTTTTTTTTAAAAGAGTAGTTTTCATTGCTTTTTTTTTTTTTTTTAGAAAGAGAGGGAGAAGAGAGAAACATCAATGTGAGAGTACATTGATCAGCTGCCTCCTGTATGCCTTCTACTGGGGATCAAGCTGCCAACCTGGGCTGAGAATCAAACTAGCAATCTATTGGTGCATGAGACCACACTCAGCCAATGGAGCTATACTGGCCAATTCACCAAGCACTTTTAGATATACCGGTACTAACTCATTCATTCCTCAGAATCAGCTATGAGGTAAGTACTATTAACCCATTTTATAGATGAAGGCATTGAAGCAGAGAGGTTATGTGGCTTACCCCAGATCATACCATTGGTTCCAGACCTCTAGCCATTGGTCACTCTGCTGAGCAGCTCTGATGGGCTCTTTACAGCCAGCAGTTTCCCACTGCACAGTGCGACTGGCCGCCTGTAAGCTTGCTGAAAAGTGAGTGATGGATTGAGGGACACTGAAACTATTCAAGAAGGGTACACCTGATCTGAAATGACTGTTTCTCAGAGATGGTTTCACTATAAGACTATGAAGTTTCCACAGACTTTGGAATTAGTAGCAGCTGGGATAAACCCTCCTTGAAAACAGTCACCAAGGAGCCATGGGCTCAGAGGAAGAGTCTATCTCTCTCTCTGGAAGGATTTGGCCAGGAGGGACAAACTCTTGATCTGTATTTACTCTGGGAGAGGTTCAGGTTTCAAAGGCTCCTGACGCTCTGGGAAATGGTTAGTCTACTGCTGGCTAGTTTCTGAGGCTGGTGGGGGCAGAATTAGGAGGAGGGGGCATGGGCAGAGGCTTGCTAATCTCTAATTGGGCCTCCACCCCAATTCTCTGTTCAATTACTAAGCTATCACATACAATTGACCTTTCATTTGAGAAGAAATAACATTCTGCTTTTATGCCTGCTAGGAAATTGTTCACATAAAACCAATGACTCAGTTGGCCTCCAATGAAGAAATTACTATATGTCTCTTGTAAAAGGCCTGTAAACTTTCAGTACTAATTTAAGTCCAAGGCTGTTATACTCTCATTTTGTTGGAAAATTATATAGGGGGAAAAAACTTTCAAGAACCTCTGGATACCTTCAAAGTTCCTCCTGCATTTCAACAATATGTAGGATTTTTTTGTTTCTTTATTTTTAGCTTACTAAAG